AAAGTTGGACCCTTACCTCATACCATATATAAAAACTAGCTCTAAATGGATCAAAAACCTAAAAGAGCTAAAACTATAGAACTCTTAGGAAAAAAACATGGGAGTCAATCTTCATGACCCTGGATTTGGCAATGGATTCTTAGATATGGCAGCAAAAGGCACCAGCAACAGGAAAAAAAGAAAAAGAAAGGCAAATTGGACTGCATCAAAAAATACTTTCATAACAGTGAAAAAACGACCTATAGAATGGGAGAAAATATTTGCAAATCATATATCTGATTAGGGTCTAGTATCCAGAACATATAAAGAATTTTTACAACTCAACAACAAAATGACAAACAACTCAGTTAAACAAGGGGGCAAAGGACTTGCAGAAACATTTCTCCAGAGGAGACATACAAATGGCCAACAAGCACATGAACATACACTAAACATCATTAGTCATTAGGAAAATGCAAATCAAAACCATAATTAGATGCCATTTCACACCTACTACCATGGCTAGAATCAAAAAACAGAAAATAAGTGTTGGTGAGGATATGCAGGAACTGGAACCCTTGTGCATTTCTAGGCAAATGTAAAATAATGCAGCCACAATGGAAAACAGTTTGGTGGTTCCTCAAAAACTTAAACATGGAATTACCACATGGCTCAACAATTCCACACTTAAAATACCCAAAGCAGGAATTGGCAGACTGTCTTAAAGGGCCATATGGTATATGTTTTAAGCTTTTTGGGCCAAAAGGTAAATTTGAGGATGTCATGTTGGTACTTGTATAAACATGTCAAATGTAAGCATTTAAAAATGTAAGAACCATTCTTAGCTTGCAGGCTATTTAAAAAAAAAAAAAAAAAGGCAGGCCAGATTTGGTCTGTGGGCTGGAGTTTGCAAGACTCCTAGTTTAGAAGAAAAATTTTAAAGATCAAATCTGTCTTCATTATAAAATGTATTCCTCAATTTATCTTCCTATTTAACAGAAATAATGATTTAAACCAATTTTGCATTAGCCAAAGCTAATGATTTTGTTAATTAACTAATATAGCTAAAACTTCTTGATTTTCCTATTTCAAACACTTTAAAAATAGAGGATCATTGTAGCTAATGACTTATATTTCTTACCTGGACCGAAATTTAACACCATGTTGGTGCAAGTTTACCGCACTTCCTCAACCAAGTGAAGCTGTTAAGTGGTAACTGTTCCAGAAGAATTCATGGAAAAGGACAGAGAGAGAAAATTTTGCAGCATTTGTGTATTCAGGCAGAAACAAATACTAAACTCTACAGACATTACTGCAGAGACCATGATACCATGGACGCCCAGCAGATCCTGTGAGTGGGTAGTAGACTGTGTGGCTTTCATCTAGCGTTTAACTCCATGTTAAATTGGCAGTCTATGGTGACACATTCTGCCAACTCTGACTTCAGCCTAGTGTGAAACTCCACCATTGCTGGAGGTAGTTCTTTAGCCATTCTATCACCACCACCCATTAACACTTAATCCAGTCATGGTTATTGTATGTGAATTGATACTTATTTCTAAGTTCCTTAACATATCAAATTAAAAGCTGAAGTGAGCAAGCATAGAAGGAATAATAAATGCTATGAATAAACAACTAAAGTAGAATTTTGAGCAAAATAACATACCAGGAAATAATAATAGCACAGACAAATGTAACTTGGAATGTAAAAATTGGAGCAAGATGTTAGGTGGTTCCTGAGACTGTGCTTTGTGCCACACCAGGAGTCACTACTATAACCAGGAAGTTCTCTGGTTGGAAAGCAGGGAATACACTGGCTGGTGTATACCAGTCTTTCAGAGCACACACCCATATTGTAGTAACATTTTCAGAACGTGTATCTTTGAAACGGGAGAATAAACTGCATTTAGAAAGTAATGATGCATACATAATATATAATAGCATGTTTTCAACTTTAAAAATTATTAGCATGTATACCATATCCAGATTTCTCTACCATTACTTATTGTCAAGAAATTGTGATTTTTAGAATTTCCATTTGTTCATCCCTTAAGGAGATCTACAGTTGAGTTTAAATACTTAGAAGTTATTTTTTATTACTCTTAATGTAAAATACCATTCTGTTTTCATAGAGCTATGGAACTGATAAGTGGTAGCTTTCCCATTGTTCATTCTAACAAACACTGTTTGCCTAAATACAAACTAGTGACGCATTCCTAATATCATCATCAATAAGTTTACAGAAAAATAAATGTAATTTATAGTAATTCACTGTTTGAAAATATTTTCACATATTCAGTGTGAATTTCAATAAATGCAGTTGCTTATGAGCATCTTTGAGATTTTTCTTGTATATGAAAAACTGAAAAAAAACTCGAAAACAACTTGGTAAATGGGTATTGGAAGCATGTGGGACTAAACCTTATAATTAGAATTTTGCATTTCTGGACTTGAATTTGCTATTGAAGAACTGTGGATATGTAGCTAAAAACTTTGACTTCCACCTCCTGTATATAATAGAATCAATTTAGACGTGTAATTACCATATAGTTCCACAAGGTGGACCTCTTGATGTTAGGTGTTTTTTTAATCCATGTCAGTTGTCCAAAATTACTCACATAATTTCAAAGTTCCTTTAAATTTTTAAAAATATACTTTTTACAAAGTCATATGATGTACTATTCCTCCTATCAGATTGGCTTAAAACTTGATGCTTCTAGAAGTTAATTTCCTCTCACAAAATTACCAAATTTTTTTAATCTTTTAAACTGTTTAAAAACAATTTAATGACTTAATATTCATTGTTACTTTAATAGTTAATCATACTTTATGAAAATGAGAAAAAGTTATTTGTAAAATCAAAGCATAAAAACTTCATTAATGACTACTACTAGTAATGAAGAATTCTGATAATTCAGATACTATATCTAATTGTTATTGAATAGGAAGGCAGACATTGTTTTTCCTAAGTCTTCAGGCTGTTAAGTATATAAACAAAATTTCTCTTCAAATTTATAACATGTAAATTTATATACATATGCATGTATATCACCGGTACCATGTGATTTATGAATTGCTTTTTAATTTTATTCCTCCAACTAACTAGGATGAGAGATTTGAGACACCATGTCATATACTTATTTAGTGCAGGATTACGTATACTAGTAGATGCAGAGTAAATATGCTTGATTCACAGTTTTAGTTTATCTCTTAACCTCTATAATATCTGATAAGAACATGAAATATAGAAATACAATTTAGAGTAATAGTTTATGATTAATAAAAACACAATGGTAGAAGTTAGACACTATTGCTAAAAATTCTGATTACAATAAAAATGTCTTCTGGTTTTATGATATCTAGATCCCTTGAGTCTGGACCAAACCAAACCCTCCTTTGAGTACCTAGCACGTTATCTTAATTTGTAATTGTACTTGCCCGTTAGTTATGGGACTTAGGCAAAAAACCTGCACATGTGTCCTACCTACCAGGTTCTCTCTAATCATAGACAGTTATTTTCTAAGCAGTACTGATCCTTCCAGGATGGTTTCTAGAACAGAAGCACCTTATTCCTTTCTTTATTTCATAGTAAGTATATGGATATTTCTATGTGAGGGAGATTGAAATCTTAGTTTTAAATAATTTGGGCTCCAATTAATATTTTAAATCAAAATATAAAATAGGGAGCTGCTAATATGTAACTTAAAATAGAAAAAAACTAGTTTTTTGGTGGTTGGCCAAAAATAACGGATTATGAATAAAATAGAGTACATATATAGATATATATATTAAATATACAATATATATACATACACATAAATGCTTATAAAATTAAGGAACTGGCTTCCAGTTAGAAAGGGTTTAGATATCATCTCAGTTCATAGACAAAGAAATTGAGGCTCAGAGAAGTCAAGAAATTCACAGAAGTTCACATAGCAAGTAAGAGGTAGGGCTGGAATTCTTCTGCCATAACAGTGATTTCTTATAAAGACTCTACTTCAACTAGCAGTATGTTTGCTAGCATCTAGGCTTGATCACAAGTCCCTTAGGACAAAGTGCTACCACAGAGCTGAGCAGTTTCCATGGGTGCCCAATCCACTGCAGTCTTAGAAGCAGCAGAACAGGAGAGGCTGTGGGAAGCAGTGAGGTAGCGTGTGTGGTAAGAAGCCACAGAGGACAGTCAGCTGCCCTGGGAGCTACCTGGCAACCATACCAATGGCTAACATTTTTTGGATGCTTAGAATGTGCCAGGCACTGTGCCAGCACTTTAGCTACGTTCTCTCCTTTAGAAATTACAGCACTGTTGTGTGTGAGAGAGATGATCTTCCTACAGAGAAAATAAATATCTTGCTGAATAGCAGAGCTGGGATTTGAACACAGGTTCTGCAAGCTCCTAAAGCCATGCTTCAAGCCACTGTGCTTCCTGCCTCACCACTGTACCAGGGGGGAGGGAAGGAGGGTCGTTTCTGTGAGGACACTTATTCACAGGCCAAGTAAAAAGATCTTTCAGGGAACATTTATTTTTATTTAACTTATTTTCCCCCTTTGTGCCAGGATTACTTTTTACTTTTGTGCCGGGGTAATTTTCCTGTTTATAATCTTCTCTCCATCTAAACCTTTGTCTCTTATAACCAAGTTTTAATAATGCTTGCAAATGTGAACTTAAAAATTCTCTTAAAGAAGGTGTAATTTTCATCTTGGTAGAATTTTTCAACAAGTTCTTACTTCTGGGTTCATTACTCAATGATAACATAAACTTAAATTAACTTGAAAAAGGTAATTTGATTTTCCAAGGCACAAACCACATATACTAACAGAATTTATAAAACAAAGCACACAAAAAGTTGGCATTCTCTTTTATGTGTTTGGATTCTGATGGCTCAAAAGTAATAAAATTTGACTTATTTCACAGATCCTTATTCTAACAAATCTCTTATCCCAACCCCAAGAAAATGTAAAACCCAGGTTAATTTCCTGCAATAAGTAGTCATTTAATTAAAGGACAAAATTAACAGGAATCAAAATGTTGCAGCTGTATTTTTTTGTTAGACATTATATAAAAAAAGGAAAAGTATAATACAGTAAATCATTTGTATAACATGAACTTAAAGAGTTCTCAAATTAATCGTGATCAGAATAAAAATGTCTTTTCAACATAATACTGAATGACACTGCGTCACACATCCCTCATGTCAGAGGCCTTGGAGTGATGAGCCTGCACATGCACGTTGCCCATCCTCCGTTACACTGCAGAACCGTAAAGCAAGGTTGAAAGGCAGACAGTTTTCTTCTGGTACAGTTACTTTGGGTCTTAACTGACCCCAACAGTTCACACTCCTCAGACAACAAGAGTGAAGCGTGTCCTCTGGTTTCTCCTCTTACAGGTAAGTGCGGCCAAGATTTCACCTGTGTATGTGATCCTGCTCCTCTCACAAACACAGCAAGTAGTCTTGAGCTGAACTTCAGGAAAGTTCCCTGATGATTGTTCAGTGTTGGTATCAAAAATTAAACACCAATTCTTCTCAGAAGAAAATCTCTATGGCCTGTGGAATCTAGAAATTATAAAAAGACAAATAAGGTTATACGTCTCTAAGTTAAAATTGCCAAAACCTTCCACAAATAAATTGATTGCTATTAAAAGCTTCTCAGAAGTCCAACATGTAGAACATGAGGATGGACCTGCTTTGGTTAAAGTAGTGTAGAGCCACAAAGGGCTCCCAACTCCCCGCCCCTCTCATACCTCAAAAGGAATTATATGATGAATTCTTAAGACTACCTACAACTTAGTTTGAAAGCTGCTAGTTAAGCCCTTGAAGTACAAAGAAAGGCCAGGGCTCTGCTAAATCAGTAGAAGTAATGAACTGATTGATTGATAAAACAAATTATTGGAAATTATAGTAGAGTTATGCTTTTGTTTTGTTTTTGTAGAATTGGTAATGTATTTGTGGTAATGTTTAATACACTTAAGAAAATCTCGAGCCAGCCCTGATGGCCTAGTGGTTCAAGTTCGGTGCTCACTGCGTCAGCAGCCCAGGTTCGTTTCCTGGTCGTGAAACCACGCCACCTGTCAGTTGCCATGCTGTGGCGGCAGGTCACATAGAAGAACTAGAATGACTTACAACTAGGATATACAACCATGCACTGGGGCTTTGGGGAGGGGAAAAAAAATCTCATATGACTAAAAATATTGTTCTGACTTTAAAAAATTAACATCAAGTGCTAAAATGTGGTGGTATACAAATTTCATTATTATTTCCTGATGTCCAAGTTTTGGACTCACTCTTAAAATTCTGTCATCTAAGAAAGCTATGAAGGACTTAGGAGAGAAAATACATATTTTTAGTAAACATCTCTTTTAATAATGTATAATGGGAAAACGTATTAAATATTTTGACATTACCATACATAGAATATGCAGTAATTGTATCCTGTTTCATAGAATATGCAGTAATTGTATCCTGTTTCTTTAACAGAGTGAACATTAAAAATAACTTTGAATGTTTTACTAGAGAATGTTTATTTCCTAAACATTTTTGAGTGTTTTGAACAATCACAAATAAGATGATCTATTCCTGCCCAAATGTATGCCAGTTATGGCGGGAACCTTAAAAATTTTTTAAACAAACCATTTACTTGTGTCATTTTCTCCTGCCCTTCCAACCTCCGCTTCCTCCCTTGATATATTCATCCTAAAGTGTCTTGTAGGGTGGAATTCTGTCTCACCTGGTTTCTCTTCCTCAGCCACACTGAGCTTACAGAGTAAATCTTTTAAATAATAATTGCAGTGGCCACTTTGTGACAAACAGAAAATAAAAGGAATCCATTATTTTAGTTTAAGGCAATTATCTATACTTAGGGGTTCCTTTCTCTTTGTATCTGGGGCTTGAGCATCTTTAGACAAAAGGAGAAATGACAGAGCCACTGCTACAGCTAAAGGCTCACTGAATCACGGTCACCCCCTTGAGGGTCAATGGTCTAGAAGAACTTCAAACACTATGACTTGCCATGGCCACGGAAAAGGAGGAGGGAAAATGCTGCAAGAATATGTAGCCAAATGAGCAAAGAGAAGTAAGTCTTTTCCCATTTCATCATCAGTCAGAAACCCCAAGTTATCTCTGGTTAGGATAACATGGACAGAGAATACAATTCATCTTCACGAGAAAAGTCTTAATTATGGAAGAATCAGCCAATATATTCCTACTGGAATATAAGCTCCATGAAGAAGGGAACCTCCTTTTCTTATTCATAGTTGCATTCTCAGCACCTAGAGCGGTGCATGGCACACAGTTTTTTGCTGAGGAAACAAATGCTCTTTGAGCTTTGGGGAAGCATTAGCTTGTGTTAAAGATGTGAATATAAATTTAAATAAAATAGGAAAAAGTAAATGGGAGGGTGGGGAGTAATTTCACAGCACTCCTTTGAGGATAAATAAATTGGGCGCTCTATAAACTGGGAAAGTTCTGAATACTAGAGAAGGAGAGTTAAAAATATAGGTAAATTACTTTCATTGCTTTGAGACTAATTTTCTTAAATATATATTAGCTACTTAAATCAATCAATCACCTGTATAATACTGTTCTACATATCACCTTTCACCAAGCCCTATAAGAAACCATGGGAGCAAACAGCACTTTTTATTGAGGTGCATTCTGTCTGTTCCATACAGTTCTCTGTAGAAATACTGAATTTGTTTATCTGAATATAGGTCTTTGTGGTGTTTTTCTTTTTCATACCATGTTATAAGTATCATGAAATTCATACAGACAGAAATCTGACCTTGTCAAATGCTTGCTTGATGCATGTACCTCCATTTCATTACTTTTGTATTCATTTAGTTCTTTACGAATTGCTGCCTGAAATTTAAAAACAGGACATTGTTTCTCAGGACATTAAAAAGTTAACAGGAAATTAGTATCGTGGTTATGAAGTAACGGCCTTTCCTAATACTTGCTGACTTTTGTTGTTTTGTAATATATTCAAAAAAAAAAAAACTTTTTGTTCAGCATTTAGACTCTTACTCATCTTTATAGTCCTACCAAGCTAATACATAGCTGGTGTTCTGGAAGTGTTTAGGGAAGTTAGTTGCTGTGCTGGAGTAGGAAGATAACCGCCCTCTGTTCCACGATACAGAGATGGACCAGGCACATGCTTAGGACACTTACAAGATAGGAATACCAAAATAATGAGTAAAGTTCAGCTTTTGGTGAACTTACTTGGAATTTTGCAGTTAGATAATCTAGAAAGAATCATTCTAACTTCAGCATACATTTATATTTTGTGTAATTTGAAAAATTTGATTGTCACTCCATGGGGGTGATTATATTATAGGTGTGTCATTCCATGGGGTAAGGTATGGATCATTGTCCTTTCAGGGCCTCTCACCTGGCCCTCCTCTAGCTTTTCTCTCAGATAAACCCTCCAGGTGGACACAAACAGACACGGCCTCTGGGACAAGCAAGGGCTTTGAGTCAAAAATTTCAGCGGAGTATTATTCCCATACTCAAACAGGTCTGTGGCCAAAGATACTTTTCTTCTCCCCTTATGACTGCACTCCTCTGAGCGCATCGACCGGGGGTAACCAAGAGAGTCAGTCCAACTACAGGAGGTCTGCACCTCCAAGATAACGTAATGCCCACGTGCAGTTATTTATAACCTCACGTACTCCTACTCAGCATATAAAGGAGCAAATTCAGCAAACTCACTGGCTGAATGTATTATTTTCTTCTTCCTAAAGGCTTTAAGAGTTCTGAAAATCACTAGTGGCAGGAAGATATGCTAGAAAGACTCTGTAGACAGACACTTCTGGGTTTAAATCCTTGCAGTCAATAGCATTTGACCACAGACAAGAACTGACCCTCTCCAAGCCTTTCCACGTCATCTGTTCAATAGCATGTCTATAGGGATAATAACACCTCTTTCACAGGGATTTTTTTGAGGACTCAATGAAATAATACCCGACAGGCTGGGTTCACTACAGGGCAGAGTAAGTGCTCAGTGAATGTTAATTCCCTCTGCTTCACCCCTTAGCCTCTGTGACCCACTGCCTCCTTGCTGCCTTCCTGCCTCTCTAACCATTCAGTTCAGACTGCTCAGGAGCTTCCCAAAGACACCTCAAACTGGACCAGTCCAGGACAGAATCCAGAGCCACCCCTGTCTATACTGTAGAGGCTTTCCGGAATGCCTGCTGGATCTCTTCCATTCCTCTTTGTCCCCACTGTAGCTCATTTTGTTTAAACCTATGTTGTCTAGTCTCTTAGGCCAGCCTTACCTACTTTTGATTCATCCCCCAGACCAAAGTTTCTCAACTTCCACATTCTTGACATTTGGGACTAGATAATTCTCTGTTGCGGGGGCTGTCCTCTGCATTGTGAGATGTTTAGCAGCATCCCTGGGCTCCACCCACCACATACTAGTAGCATCCCCATTTGTGACAACCAACAATGCCTCCAGACGTTGCCAAATGTCCCTAGGGGCAAAACTGCCCCTAGCTGAAAACACAGCCCTAAGCCTGGATTGTCTTTGTGAAACCAACATCTAGTCAAGGCATAGGCTTAATTTCAATAGCTGACAGCACCCACTGTCTGAGAATAAACTCCCTGGCATGACGGGATCTGCCCTCATTACATGATACTGTCCCCCTGCCCGGCACAGACAGGTCTGTTCTGTACCTTATCTGCTGCTGACAGTCTCGTCCAGGGTTTGTCTGCCCGTCTGTCATAATCTTGTGCTTTCGCCACTTCCACATAATCACTGAATCGTATCAGAATTTTTCTGTCTCTTAGTTCATCAACTGTGGGTCTCTGGTTAAGCTAAAATAAAAGATCATCATAGTTAGGTATGCCAAACAAGCTTTCTTAAAGTACTCTGAACAAACAGCACACTTCTATAAATAAAGATAAAACTGAAACTGTGAAATACAACCCTAATGCAAACAATCTGTAATGTAAAGGGCTTAAATTATACACTCTTAATTACAACCCCCTTCCCTTAACATAGTTCATCAGGACACACACCCCCAGTAGCCGAGCAGTGCCCTATATAGAGCAGAGACTCGAGGAAAGGTTGATGAATTAACTTAGAGTAAATTTTATGGCAGCAGCTTCTTGGTTTCAACTATCATTAGATAAGCTTTAAAAAAAAGTTACTGATAAAGTTAAAATGCTAACTACTGCTGGTACTCATAAGTCAAACTCAGGAAGGATGAGATTTCATTAATTATTACGGAGCACAGTGGAGACAGGGAACACCAGAACACTTCAATTCAGAGACGGGCAAAGCTTTAAAAGTAGATCAGGTTTATGGAGCTGCTACCTAAAATGGCCATAGGAAACTTAAACTGTCTGAGTCCCAGATACAAACCCTTAAGGCTAATAAGGTTTTCAGCAATCTGGAGCCTCTAGACAAACTGAAGGTAACCAGAGTCTGAAAGGTAACCGAAACACTGCTATCCAGCTATGCTTTTCTCAGGCACTGTGTAAAGATCTCAAATAAATGAGGAAAATGCCCAGTTAACATCTGGCTTCCTAGAAATAAACAGAAATGTCATCTGGATTGTCCTGCCACACCACGCTGCTTCTGTGCTGGGTAAGGACCTCATCCCTAGGCATGTCAGAGTCATACCCTGGGATGCGGCAAAAGCCCTGCTCTGAGTGTCTGGTGAGTGAACTCACTGCTGCCCAGGAAATCCTCATTCACGATCACAGAGTGATGTCTTGCATCACCCATTCCAAGTGCTACAGAAGCAGCTTTTCTCTAGTCCACCTTTTTCCCCTTGATATTCAGGAAATAAAATACTTAAATTATAGTACCTTTCTTGTCAATCTTTGCTTGATTTCTCTTCTTTCTTCCTGCTCAGTCTGATCGTTCCTTTCTGTGCAAGATTAAAAAAGAAAAAGAAAGGAAAGAAACAAATTGAGACTCTTCTCTTCGGCATGGAAGTGTACTCAAGATCTCCACATTTCTAGTAGCTGAAGGAGGAATATCAAGGACACATTGTAGGTGACACTTTTTTCCATATAACTTTGTTTTTCTTTACTTTGCCAGTCGCTGCTCAGGACATCATGGTCTCGTTACACAGAAACACTTGTATAAGGGAGCTTTGCCATCATCCCAGCCTGGTTCTCCTTGGCCCTTGTCCATGTCAGAAATAACCTCACATATTGCTGCTGTGCATTTAGATGCAGGAGAAATGGGAAACGGATCTCTCTCTCTCCCTGCTCTAATCAAATATCTCTATCTGTATATTTATATCTAGGAACATAGATGGCAAACAAAAATAGCTTTAGTAGGATAATTTATATATACATATTTTATATACATATATACATAAATGAATGTATGAGTATGAATAGAACTGTCACTGTTTGCTTTTTTTTTTTTTTTCCCATTTAATAGGTATACATACTTGAAGACAACCAACCTAAGACAAGGAACACCCTCTTCAGTTTCTGGGCAATGTATGCTTGCCTAGAATTTATATTTTAAAGGTATACGTCAAATCCAAACATACTCATGAACCCAGCTGACTCTCCATTGCAGAAGCGAGCACACTTACATGAGATGCCTTTTAAAGGATCCTGAGTCCCTCGCCAAAATTGGCTTTGCTTGGTGAGTTGTGACTATTAACATTCAAGCTGTGCTCACACCTACACATGGGAGCTAAAAATAGAGCAGAATGCTGAGATGTAGTGTAAAATGTATGCCTTGCCCTGGGGTAGGAGATAATGGATGTCCTATTTCTGGCTCTCTGTTGCTAAATAAACCTCAGGTCCCTGACCTGAACATAGTTCCAGTCCTAGGAAAGGGACCTCATCCATCAGCACTCCTAGAAGCACTGCCAGCTTCAAGAAAGGGAAGTCCTGCTACTTGCAGTTAACATAACTTCACACTATCTGCCTTTATTTAAAACATTCCAAACACTTTTGCATTTGGGGGCTTGGGTATATGGAGTTTAGTACATTAGCGATTGCAGTTTTCAGTGATTTTTTTTTTTAAAAAGGAAGATTCATCTTGCATTTAGGTGTTTTAGAAAAGGAAATGAAACCCTGTTATGTTCCTGGTTCTTGATCCAAGTGATAAACAAGAAGAAACCACTTATAAGCTCTAATCAGAAAGCTGGCAATACAATTAGAAAAAAAAATTGTGATAGTATCACATATAAGGCCAATCATGAGGGATTTAAATGACGATATGAAACTAATTCTTTAGATTTCTTAAATATAGGCCATGGACAAATCTCAAGTGCAGCCTCCATGTGAAAACACTGAAAACAAATCAGATCTTTCCTTTTTTTTTTAATCGTGAACATCAGCATCATTACCAAGGCCATATAAGCACAGCACGTGCTCTGGAGAGCTGATCTTTGAAAGTGCCCGGCAGGGTCCTTCTCGACCAGGTGCTCTGTAGGGCACCAACTCCAGGAAGTCCTTCCTCAGAGCCTAAGCCACAGGCTCACTCTCTGAGCTCGACTCAGCAATGGGTTTGTGGATCTCTTATTCCTAGACCCAGAAAACCTGTGCCTTATACAAAATGAGGGAGCCATGATCAGAGCCTCCACACCCAAGTTTTCCGGAAATAACGTCAGTAGCGTGGACAGTCCCACACAAGTCTTCCTAAGTAATCAGAGATGTATTACTGCTCCTAATGCAGCAGTTAGACCATGCACGATGGAGCTAGGCCACCTGGTTGTGAACTTGAGCTCTACCCTCTTGTCAAGATTCATGTTAGTCTTCTTACCTCCCTGAGTCTTAGCTTCCTCACTAGGGAAATGCGGACAGCAGGGCAAACCTCACAACCACGTTGTAATGATTAAATGAGGGAAAACAGGCAGGCACTGAGTACAATGCCTGGCACACTGGGTGGGCCTAATGTAGATTTATCATTTTTAGTACCATCATATATAAAGGGGCCACTGTGTCTTATGTTCTTATATCCATGAATACACAGGCCAAGTTCTGAGTGTTCCTCAGACATGATGGCAATTAGTCATGAGCTCCTCACTTGAAGGGGGCAAGTACAGCGTGATGATATTCTAAGAACTGATTACAGGCAGAAAATGCAATATAGTATGAGCGTTCAAGGCCGGGGTTAAGGGCCTGTGGGTATGATGTTCTACACTGGACTATATTTGGTTACCTATTCTCACCTCCACAGAACAAAACAAAACAAACACCCCCACAAACTAGAAGTGAATTCTCAGATGCTCCCACCCAGGGCATGAGAAGCTTCCAAGCTAGGACACCCCCGACTGGTGCAATAGTGAAGAAGGGATTGCCACAGCCACAGTGGCGGAAGCCCATTTCTGCCCCTTTGTGCACTGAAGGTGAATGCACACGGTTCAGTCACCCACTTGCCATCTCTATTCACCAAGCACAGATCTATTAAACAGCCTCCACGTTTATTTACAAAGACTAACACAACGAGAAGCACTTGCTGGTGAGAGGACCTGGCCATCCACAATAGCGGGAAAGAGGTCACAACCGACAGGAGAAACGGTTCCCAGGAGAGAAGCCTCTGCCTCCTGTGGGCAGGAGGCCACTCCAGGGTGGCACAGCCTGAGTCTTGAACTTGCCCCATTCACATCTTGGATTACTGCTTTCAGGAGCATCTGTGACTTACAAGCTTTATAAATAAGTGACAATTTTTAAAAATTCAAATATTTGGTAACAAATGGCTTGACTTTTCTATCTGCCCACTTGACGAAGCATGTTATCAATGAAAAGCTTTTCTTTAAATCCTCAGACGGGGCCTGGTTCACATAATATAAAATAGCAGTTGCCCTATCTTAAGTTTAAAAAATAAAACGAAGAATTCTTAATCTTAGGGTTAAATATTTCCAACAGTCTATAAAGGAGGGAATTTTTTAGGCAGTTAACGAAGGCATTGAGACAAAGCAAGGGGAGAGGAATCAGGCAGGACCCAGCACCCAGACCAACCAGAGGCTCCGCGGTCTGCTATCTGACAGGAAGTCAGCCTCGGTGCTGTTGCAACTTTGTAAAAAGATGTTCAAGGAATAAACAACTAAACTCAAAGGATGTCTGCAGTGTTCATCACATAAAGAGAAAAAAAAATTAAAATACTCTAAAAATCCAGGCCCTTAGAAGACACTCTTTAGAAAATGTTTTGAAAACTAAAGCCCGTTGGCCAGATATGTAAAAACTATCTGAGAAGGATTTTACCTCCCCAAATCATCAGTGACTCTAATGAGACGGAATGGTGTCCTCCACAGTGTGGAGGCTACTCCTGGACACCAATGCTCAGCATGTGTTTTAATTACACACCAAACTGTGGCAACCCAGGGGTGTGGGGCCGGCAGGGGGGCCCTGGGGTCACAGTTTCCAGCCACAGAAGATGTTCCCACCTTCACTGTTCCTTTGAGCTGTCTGCTTTACTCCTCAGGTGGACCAACCAAGAGGCTGTTCTTCTCTGGTGGGATTCATGACCCCCTCCACATCTTGCCTGTGATGTCTGCGCCCATCAGGAGCCCCCACCCAAAGCCGCCAGAGAAACCTGCTTGAAACCCAGCACGCACAAAAAGATATTCATTCCTTTCCCTTAGTTCTATAGGGCTGACTACTTAACTCTGAAAATAGGGATTTAATCATGCTAGGGGGAGAGTTTTGGTTTTTTTTTTAATTTTAAAGGGGGATATTTCTGGGTGTATCAACTTTCCTCCAGGGGCTTGCTTTCGGAATTCCTCAGTTGCTCAGATGTAATGGGAACACGGAGCGTTCAGCCCGCAGAGACGGGCTGGGTTTCGAACACGGGAGAAAGGCAGCGAGTTAGCCCCTGCCCCGCACGCCGGGCTCCCGCGCCGGCCTCAGCGCACACACGTGAGGGGAGCCTCTGGAGGGACCACCAGCTACTCACGTTTCAAGATATTTCTCCTCTCCAGTTCCTCCACAGCAGGTCTTTGGCTCAGCCGTCTGCGGAAAAACACTAGAATTACATTTTGCACCATGGTGGCCGCCTGCAAATTCCACCTAGGGTCTGCGAGGGTCGGAGGTGGCCGGCACACCCCCTAGAGCTCGCTCCCCAAAAGCTGGAGGAGAGGAAGGGGACCTCTGCTGGCCGCCTCTTGCTGGCAAATCGAGTCCGGCCCCACGCGGGAGGGAGGTGGCCCGCCGTCACGGGGCGGCCGGGGCAGTGCGCGCTCCGCCTCTGGACGTGCGGCTGCGGCTCTTCATCTCCGGCGCCCGCCCGAGCCTGGCCGTCCGGGCGGCGGGTGTAAGCGGCGCGGACACCCGTTCGCGAGACCGTGTCCCGGCCGCCGGCAGCGGGCGGGTGGGGAGCACCGGCGTCTGCAGCCTCCGCCTGGCGCTC